TGGCATCACAAAGGTAGGAAAGTACAAATACAAAGATGAAAATCAAATAACAAAAGCAAACTGAAATATAGCTTGTTGATAAATAAAGTTTCTCTTAAAATCTGCAGGCAGTCTGCACTACTCCAAGTCACACACAGTCTACATTTGTGGAAACAGAATCAAGAAAAATCATCTGGAATAATTATGGCTATTCAGCATGTAAAAAGTAATCAAGATTGTGTCTATACAGCCAGAATTTACCACTAAGCTGAGTCTATGTGATGCATATCTGGATTGGCAGCAGAAGCTCTGTATCCAGCTGTTAATTAAGTCAGCACGGGATTTATGCTGGAACTTCCAGGAATTTCCAAAATGATAGCTAAATTGGGCTGGATTTTGTGTAATCCATTGTCCACACATCCAACAGACCCACTGTTGTGTTGCCATCAGGAAACAGGTCTCTGCCACAGTCTTGCTAGTGATGTCACATTTCTGTTGATATCACATCAGGGTCCCTTGCCATAGGACCAGAAAAGCAATATAGCCAGCAAGCCTCTAGCAGAGTTGCTTGCTGGTGGCAATGAGATGATGGCCCATGTGCTGTCAGCCTGGCTTTCTATGTGGATGGAGCTGCCTAGGCCAGCTTACACCAGGGAAGGTGGGTGGCCAAAGGGCTTCAAGGATGCTCTCAGGCTGTATCACAACAGCTCTGGAGTATTTATTTATTTATCTATCACGTCAGGAGCAACCAGACAATTGTATTACATTTTTAACAAAACAAACAGACAAAACACAAAGTTTGCAAGCTTCGGTAGTTGATTAAATGTCCTTTGACCAGTATCTGGCCACTTGGAGTGCCTCTGGTGTTGCCGCAAGATATCAAGGGCTCAGGTTGCATTGCAGCAGGTGGTCTGTGGTTTGCTCTTCTCCACACTCGCATGTCGTGGATTCCACTTTGTAGCCCCATTTCTTAAGATTGGCTCTGCATCTCGTGGTGCCAGAGCGCAGTCTGTTCAGTGCCTTCCAAGTCGCCCAGTCTTCTGTGTGCCCAGGGGGGGGTGGGGAGGTCTCTCATTTGGTATCAGCCATTGATTGAGGTTCTGGGTTTGAGCCTGCCACTTTTGGACTCTCACTTGCTGGGGAGTTCTTAGAAAACTATTTCTTGATTTAATTCATTGACATGCTGGCTGATACCCAAACAAGGGATGAGCTGGAGATGTCACTGCCTTGGTCCTTTCACTATTGGCTTCTACTTCCTGGCGGATGTCAGGTGGTGCAATACCAGCTAGACAGTATAATTTCTCCAGTGGTGTAGGGCACAGACACCCTGTGATAATGCCGCATCCCACTGTTTTAGCATGGTGAGATGTGTTCCACACTGGGCATGCATACTCAGCAGCAGAGTAGCATAGCGCAAGGGCAGATGTCTTCACTGTGTCTGGTTGTGATCCCCAGGTTGTGCCAGTCAGCTTCGTATGATATTGTTTCTAGCACCCACCTTTTGCTTGATGTTCAGGCAGTGCTTCTTGTAGGTCAGAGAACGGTCCAGAGTGACTCCCAGGTGGTGCGCTGCAATGCTCTTAACCTGGATGAATCAAGTACATGTAGATATGGTCAAAAAGTTCAGAAGTGAATCAAACAGCAGCTGGGGAATCTATTCATAGTTTGATTTACAGTTAGAATATGCTGCCTCAGGGTGTGGTGGTCTCTTTCTTTGGAGGTTTTTAAACAGAGACTGTCAAGAGAGCTTTGTGTATTCCTGCATCACAGGGGGTTGGACTGGATGGCCCTTTTAACTGAGATACGTGCCTGTAAAGTGGGCCTTTGACATCTGCTGGGATTTGATTCCAGGACCCTCCTTGGATATCAAATCCACAGATTTTTCATTTACAATCACATAGAAAAAATGTGTTTCATGTATAAAAAGACAAAATGAAAGTTTGCTTTTTGGGACATTTTCTTTTTTGGAATATTTACACACAGAGTGGTTGGTCAAATATGTAGATGCAGATTCTGTGGATATGGTGGCCCAACTGCATTGCCATCTCTTCAAGGAAAGACAGTGAAATAACCCTCCACTGCGAGTATAGAAATTACGCCAATGTAGCGTAACACAATTCTGCACTTGCCAATTGCATTTTATAAGTGTCTGCTTTAATTCAAACCCTTCAAGGATTTGTAGATAAAATGTAAAAAATATGCTTGATAGATAAGTAAGTCATTAATGGCTGTTTTTCTAATGGGAGAGATACTGGGAAGAGCATCTCTTTTGCCGAAACTGTTTCTGGTTGTGAGAAATAGAAAAGATAATTTTGTGAAGATGATTTATGAGAAACTATTCATTAAGGATTTGGAAATCACACAATATCCAGACACAAGTATGCAACAACCAAAGAGAGGCATACTGAGAACACAGCCTAATCTTTAGCGAAAGCAGCTTCTGCTGATAGAGAGACATGGTAAACAATCAAAGTATTTGGCTTTAATGTTTAGCGTCTATTATTGTTCTGGGAATGTTTGAGCTACGAGTCATCATATCTGATGAAGGATTAATTTAAGCATTCAGGGCACTGCCATGGCATTAAGGATTTGAGATAATAATAATAATAATAATAATAATAACTGGGAAAACTCACAGCAACCCATGAAAAACTTTGACAATAAAAAACTTTATTTATATCCCTCCCTATCTTCCCAGTACTCGAGGCAGTTCAGAACAAATAGCACCAACCATTCAATGCCGTAATGTGCAACAAAAAAAAATGACATAAATCAAACATATTGAACAAGAACATAAAATTAATAGTGGGATAATACACCAAATTAGGTATCACATAGCTAAAATTACATATTAACAAATAAGCATTCAGGAGAACACTTAAAAATTAGAGGCGAAGAGCTATTAAAACATGACATTTAAAAAGCCAGAAGAAAGCCATTTTCATACATGGGTCCTATGAACAAATCAAGCCTGAACTCTCCCTCGAAGCCAGGGTGACTCTGGACCTGAGAAGGCAAGACTCACCAGAAAAGGCTTTCATGGCTGGAATCACCGAGTTGCTGTGAGTTATCTGGGCTATATGGCCATGTTCCAGAAGCATTCTCTCCTGACGTTTCACCCACATCTATGGCAAGCATCCTCAGAGGTTGTGAGGTCTGTTGGAACAAGGAAAATTGGGTTTATATATCTGTGGGAGGGTCCAGGGTGGGAGAAAGAACTCTTGTCTGCTTGAGGCAAGTGTGAATGTTGCAATTGGCCCACCTTGATTAACATTTAACGGCCTTGCATCTTCAAAGCATTGCTGGTTGCTGCCTGGGGGAATCCTTTGTTGGAAGGTGTTAGTTGGCCCTGATTGATTCTTGTCTGGAATTCTCCTGTTATTTGGGTGTTGCTCTTTATTTACTGTCCTCATTTTATAGGGGTTTTTTTAATACTGGTGGCCAGATTTTATTCATTTTCATGGTTTACTCCTTTCGGTTGAAATTGTTCACATGCTTGTGGATTTCAGTGGCTTCTCTGTGTAATCTGACATGGTGGTGGTTAGAGTGGTCCAGAATGTCTGAGTTCCCAAACAATATGCTGTGCCTAGGTTGGTTCATCACGTGCTTTGCTGTGTTGACTTCTCAGATTGAATCAGTCTGCATTGCCTTTCATGTTCCTTGATTCATGTTTGGGCATTTCTGTGTTTGGTGGTCCCTATGTAGACTTGTCCATAGCTGCATGGTATATCGTTTGGTAAGGGAGAAGACGGTGGGAAAAGAGGAAGATCCGCATTGCAGATGGATAGAGTCGGTCCAGGAAGACACAGCCTTGAATATGCAAGACCTGAGCTACTTACTTACTCTTACTTACTTAGGCGATCCCTCGTTGTCCAAGTAGGATAGTCTTCCAGGGTCAGTGGGCAGTGTACAGTGGGTCTGTAGGTGACTGTGGAGCCCTATTCTTGATCTGCATCTTCTCCCGTAGTGAGGGCATTGGTTTCCAGGTGGAAGGCAGCCCCGGTTGGGGTTGACTTGATGCTCCTTCCTCTTGGCACGTTTCCCTCTTTTGCCCTCTATTCATGCCTCTTCAAATTATACAGCACTGCTGGTCACAGCTGACCTCCAGCTAGAATGCTCAAGGGCCAGGGCTTCCCAGTTCTTGGTGTCTATGCCAGAGTTTTAAAGGTTGGCTTTGAGCCCATCTTTAAATCTCTTTTCCTGTCCTCAAACATTCCATTTTCCGTTCTTGAGTTCGGAGTAGAGCAACTGCTTTGGGAGATGGTAGTTGGGCATCCCGACAACGTGGTTGGTCTAGCAGAGTTGATGGTGGAGGACCATTGCTTTAATGCTGGTGGTCTTTGCTTCTTCCAGAAAGCTGACATTTGTCCACTTGTCTTCCCAAGATATTTGCAGGATTTTTCAGAGGCAGCGCTGATGGAATTGTTCCAGGAGTTGACAGTCCACATCTTGTAGGCATATAGCAGGGTTGGGAGGACAATAGCTTTATAAACAAGCACCTTGGTCTCCCTACAGATGTCCTGGTTCTCAAACACTCTCTGCTTCATTCGGAAAAATGCTGCACTCGCAGAGCTCAGGCGGTGTCAATGTTGACTTTTGTGGCGAGGTGGCTGCCAAGGTAGTGGAAATGATCAGCGTTTTCTAATGTTACACCATTAAGCTGTATTTCTGGCATTGGAGAGGGATTGGTGACTGCTGGAAGAGCATTTTGGTTTCTTCGATGATCAATGACAGGCAGAGCTCCTCGTTTGAGGGGGAATGGCAACAAGATGCCTCATCGCTTGGTCTGGCTTCCAAGGGAGGGGGAATCCTTCGAAACGCCCACGGGCTGGTTGTTGGCTTGGTTTTTCTTTTGCCAGAGGAATCCGCTGAAAGAGCTCCTCGGGAAGTTGGCGCTGAGCGGAGGGAGGGAGACCACCTTTCCCTCCTCCTCTTCCTGAGCGGCTCTTTTTCGGGCTCTCCTTTCCGGCCCCCTCCGGCAGCCTTTCTCTTCGGAGCGCTCCCCATCCTTCTCACTTTGCCTGCCTTCTTGACGAACTGGTCGGACTGGGCGAGAGGCGGTGGCGAGCGCGGGAAAACCCCCGCCCCGTCCCCGGAAGAGACAGGATCAGCGCTTGCAATTGGTGCCGCGAAAGAGAATTGGGAACTTCGACGGGGCAGACTGGTTTTGCCTGGACGGCCGAAGGAGCAGTAAGGCTTCCAGCGAACCCTTCGGAGGGTTCCCGAAGGCTTGGGGAGGGTTTCGGATGCCATCGAGGTGCAGGCATTTCGCCAGGAATACTCTCCACCTGTGAAGCTGCCATGGAACAGCAGGGCTTCTGCCCAAGTTCAGAGCGTGTTTGTGCCAATGGCACAGGGAGAGCACCAGAGAGAGCTCCTTAATATCAAACTACAGGTGTGTATGTCCTCTCTCTCTCTCTCTCTCTCTCTATCTATCTATATCTCTATCTCTATCTCTATCTCTATCTATTTGTGTATAATGTATTTTCGAAGGCTTTCATGGCTGAAATCAGGGTTGCTGTGAGTTTTCCGGACTGTATGCCATGTTCCAGAAGCATTCTCTCCTGACGTTTTCACCCACATCTATGGCAGGCATCCTCAGAGTAGAGGAGTCTGTTGGAAACTAGGCAAGTGAGGTTTATATATCTGTGGAAAGTCCAGGGTGGGAGAAAGAACTCTTGTCTGTTTGAGGCAAGTGTGAATGTTGCAATTGGCCACCTTGATTAGCATGTAATGGCCTTGCGGCTTCAAAGTCTGGCTGGTTGCTGCCTGGGGAATCCTTTGTTGGGAAATGTTAGCTGGCCCTGACTGATTCTTGTCTGGAATTCTGTTGCTTTTTGAGTGTTGCTCTTTATTTACTGTCCTCATTTTATAGGGGTTTTTTTAATACTGGTGGCCAGATTTTATTCATTTTCATGGTTTCCTCCTTTCTGTTGAAATTGTCCACATGCTTGTGAATTTCAATGGCTTCTCTGTGTAGTCTGACATGGTGGTTGTTAGAGTGGTCCAGCATTTCTGTGTTCTGAAATTGGTTCATCAGGTGCTCTGCTATGGCTGACTTCTCTGGTTGAATTAGTCTTCAGTGCCTTTCATGTTCCTCGATTCATGTTTGGGCATTGCTACATTTGGTGGTCCCTATCTAGACTTGCCCATAGCTGCGTGGTATACAGTAGACTCCTGCAGAAGTGAGAGGATCCCACTTGTCCTTTCAAGAGAAAGGAAGAAACCATGACAATGAATCAAATCTGCCTACCAGTATTATTTTTTTAAAAAAAACTCTAAAATCAGGACAGTAGTTAAACAGCAACACTAAAAAAACAAAAAAAAAAAAAAACCAACAGGGGAATTCAAGACAAGAATCAATTAGGGCCTGGATTCCCCCAGGCAGCAACCAGCCAGGCTTTGAAGCTGCAAGGCCATTCAATGCTAATCAAGTGGATCAATTGCAACATTCACACTTGCCTCAAACAGACAAGAGTTCTTTCTCCCACCCTGGACATTCCACAGATATATAAACCTCACTTGCCTAGTTTCCAACAGACTCATCAACCTCTGAGGATGCCTGCCATAGATGTGGGTGAAATGTCAGGAGAGAATGCTTCTGGAATATGTCCATACAGAACAGAAAACTCACAGCAACCTATATGTGTATATATTAATCATCTCTCTATTGCATGAATCTAGAGGTCATTCTCCTTAAAAGGGAAATCCTTCTCCAAAATGTCCATTTCTATGTGACTTCATAGAAATACAGCCCAGGATTCATGTTTCATATAAAACCAAGTGAATCCTTAACTTTTCTAATTGCACTTTGCATAATTCTCCTTTTTGTATGATGAAAACTTGAATATATTTGTTTTTTGCCTGTATCCAAGAGAGGAAACAGGGAGGAGACTAGAAGAAGCCATTCACAACAGGACCTCTCTGGCCATCAGTGTGGCTTCCTGTTTGAATCTCCCTTTGAGCCACTGCTCCCTTTATAGTTGCCTGTTTGCTGCAACTGAGCAGGTCATCTGTTTGTGAGCAGTTCTCATGCTGACACTCCTGGCTGTTTGAATGATTCATACCATTGTTTCTTGGTCTGGCACTTCCAGGGGCTGAGTGTGAAGTCGACTCACCTGTGAGGCATCTTCCATGGAACTCTGGAGAAGATCATCCTAAAAGTGTCACCCTGGAAATGATACTCCTAATCCCAGAACAGTGCTGCTTCTTGTCTGCCTTCTGAAGGAAAGAGGAGCTGGCCAATGTTGGCAAACAGCAGTAGTGGAGGTCCCAATTGCACTGACTGCAGCCAGGATTTTGCTGCGGACATCAGCAAGGTGCTCCTCATGGTGGTCTTGATCGTGGGCATCATTCTTGGAAACTTGTTGAGCCTCTTGGTTTTTCTCCACATCAAGCAATTCAGGACTTCCCAAGGTTACCTGAGGGCCTCTTTGTCCCTGGCTGACTTGGCGGTGGGGCTCATAGTCGTGCCTTATTCCATTTACAGGGAGGTGAGTAGGTTGTCCTCTGGGATGAAGCAAAAAAGCAACCAGTCTGAACAGCTGGCCTGCTTCATCACTGGCCCCATCTTTGCAGGCTGCACTTTTGTCTCCATCATCACCATCTTTTTGCTTTCAGTGGAGAGAACCATAGCAGTGTTGAAGCCCTTGCAGAGGAAAGCAGTGATCACCAAGCGCAGGACCATTTGGTTCATTGCTGCCTCTTGGGCCATCGGTATCTGCTTGGCAGTGCTACCTCTCATTTCCACCCCTGATATCACCTTCCAGTACAACTCCTGCAGCAAGATGTGCAACTATTTCTTTCCTCCTGACAAGCTACCTCAATCCCATTGGAATATCATGTTGCTGTACCCAGTCTTTGACTTCTCCCTTTTGACTGGCACCTTTGCTGTCAATGCAGTCACCTTTATTGCCCTCCACCAATACTCCAAGATACGGAAGCAACTAGGCGGGGAGCCGCAGAGTGGCAACCAACTCTCCTTCTCAGACATCACAGCTGCCAAGACCATCGGCCTCCTGACCATTGCCTACTACATTTCTTTCTTGCCTGTTGCTGTATTTGTGGTAGGGTCTGTGGTGGGCTATCCGTGGTGCCAGTTTTCCTTTTATGCATTCTGGATCCTCACTTCTAATAGCTGTTGGAACGTGGCCATCTACAGTGTTTGGGACCCCAAGTTCCGGCGTGGGGTTCGAGAGCTGTTCAGCAAGCAGGTGCTGTTATCTGCCTCCCAGCCACCCAGCCACTCCTTGGAAAGGCACAGTTCTGCCCCTCCCTGCGTTGCTGTCCTGAAAGAGATGTTCGGCCCAGAGAGAATTTCATGACCCTTTGTGATTTCATCTATTTTGTTTAGTAGTTGCTGCTGTGTTGGTGCTCTACAGCAATCTGGTTGTTTAAGTGAACATTCTATGTTTGTAAATAGTTGTCCTCATATTCCAACATTGCACCTTTGTGGAGGAGTTTCTTTCCAAAATACTCCTTTCAATTGCCAGAATTTTTCTTGCAGCTGCTACATTGTGACCTCTTGAGCTTTAGAAAAACCCTAGTGACGATACAAATTTGTACATAAGAGCAGAACCAAAAGTATTTCTTCTCTGTACAACTTGTTAGATAGTTTAAGTCCAGTGTGTTGTTGAAGACTTTCATGGTCGGAATCACTGGTTGCTGTGAGTTTTCCAGGCTGTATGGCCATGTTCCAGAAGCATTCTCTCCTGACATTTCACCCACATCTATGGCAGGCATCCTCAGAGGTGGTAAGGTCTGTTGGAAACTAGGCAAGTGAGGTTTATGTATCTGTGGAATGTCCAAGGTGGCAGAAAGAACTCTTGTCTGTTGGAGGCAAATGTGAATGTTTTCTGCTGATTCGATGCCCAAACATCACATTAAAAAAACAAATCTCAAGTATAGTTAGTTCTAGTCACAAAACTATAGGTTATGTGACATGACTATGCATCAATTTCCCCTTGCATATACATGATTGTGATTTGGGAGTGATCCTGGACTCATCGCTGAGCCTGGAACCCCAG